GGCCCCGCGGGAAGTCCTTCTTACACCCGATTTAAAAAAAAACACACAGCACCATCCCCTTGACTCGGCCTACACCGTGAGTCTCATCGCACAGGAGAGGACGTGATCCGGGGAGATGGAGTGACGAAATCAGCTCGTGCGCAGTTGCTCGTTGTCCTCGTGCAATCGGACGATCGTGAGATACGGTGACGGCTTGGGACAGCCTTCATCCAGCAGTGGATTGATCATGGCTGCGGTTGCTGCTGCTGCTGCTGCTGCTGATGATGATGGTGATGATGATGGTGGTGATGAAGGAAAACCAGGGCCATCCTTTGCATAATAATTCACTTGCGCACGTGCCGTAAGCACTACCCACCCCCCCGCCACCGTGAGCTGGTTGGGGAGTCGTGTCCGGAGCGTACCATTAACCACGGGTGGCCGGCGAAGGGGGGGTTGGTGTGAGCGGGTGGAGCGTTACATTACCCGATGAGGGGGGTGAAGTGCGGAGGGGGGTGGGTGGGTGCGTCATTGGCATTGCAGACCATGCCTGTGGAGCTCATCATCTGCCACTGGCGTGTTTGCACGAGCGTGTTTGAACGGGAGCTGCCCAGCTTTGCTGGATGTATCTGAATCAGATTGCTTGGCTTTAATTTAGCTTATACAGCATAGACTTAACCTTTAAAAATGTCTGTTACAACAGGCTGTCCTTTAGGCACACGCACACACACACTCACTCACGCTCAATAAGGATCTTTTTTTCGACTTTCTGCCTGTGGGGCGGGCGGGTAAAATATATCCTTTGTGATCCAGGCGTGGAATTACATTTATCCTGGATGAATTTGAAATTAATTTCATGACATTGGTATTTGAACATTTGGCGCAAGCACATGCGCGAACCGGATGCAACATTTAAAACATAAAACAGGAATTATTTGCGTATTTCTGAAACGTATTTTTCGCGTCAAATTTCAGCGCTGCTTTGCGGTAATTTCAGAGCGCAATCCCTGCTCGTAAATTATCTTAATTAGGCACCCTAAGCGTCGTAAATTCGGCCAGACTTGCGTAAGCTGGGGCCACTTTTAACGAGCGGCATTAACGCAACGTCGGCATTAATGGAATTTAGTTTCACACGAATCGCACACATACCTTTAGAGGCGGCATGATAAAATAAAAAAAAACATATCCACCATCGCGAGTTTTTATTGAATAAAAAGCAGAGGCAATGTTTGGTGTCAAACTTTCTGGAATACAAATTAACGTATGATGCCCCCAATATGTGCAAGCACAGCGCATTGTTCAATTGTAGGAACCACCTTGAAGAAAATTCAATATTTCGATACGAATCAAAAATATGCGCATTAAGTTGCAAAACCTAATGGCATGCTGTGCTAATTCTGGCAAACGAGCGAGCCATCAGCTAAGTTTCGTGCACTTAAAATATCCCAAGTTGTTATGTGCCGGTGTCAAAACCAAATTTGTAAAGATACAATACAGCTTTAAATTAATACCAACATCCCTTGATTAATATTTCCTGCTGATTATTAATATTCCCAGCGCGGCACTGTCAGGGTATAACCTTCTGCGTAGAAAATGCTACAGGGCAGTTAATATCTTCATTTCGCTCACTGGTCCTCAAATTTAACCAGGCTAGAGCACGGAGTTTATTTTTTCGTAAGATATACTACACCTCCATGTCCGCAGCTATCATTAAATGTGTTGCATTTTATGCATAGCCCTTTATTAATCCGTTGCTGGTTGAAGGCTTCCCTATACCTTTCAATCATGGGTGTTTGTTATCCCATACTTCACCATTCTGGTCAGCGGGGCTTCAGGCTTAAGCGTGGGTTCAAGGAGGGAAACGATTTTCCTGAGCTCAGCCCTGGACAGCTCCAGCTGATATTAATCCCCTGCTGGTCTGTCTAGGTTTGCTGAAGGAAAAGCCCAGACCGGTACAGATGTCACTCGCCACTGGTGTTCGCCGCGGCCAGAAATCTAATTCGTGTGGCCGGTGTTCATACCACATATCACTGCGCCGAAACTCGTCGTCGACTTTCACCCGTGGGTATTTCTCACAATTGGGGATTCGAGTTGAAGCATTTCGTAAACCACGTTAGCATTGCCGAACTCTCGTGGAGTACACTGTACAGGGCTAGAGTTACGGGATTATAATAATCTGCACATAATGACACGCTTTCACAGACGATGGCCGCACGCGAACTTTAACCTCCAATTCACAGCTGTCTGTGTGCGTTTTTTGTGCTCCGTGCGGAAGAAGAAGCAGCAACCAAGTAGCTAAAGGGGTCGCAAGATGTAGCAGGTTACCGCTGAGAATCCTAGGTTCGAATCTGGCACACTGGCTTCTCAGAGGTATTGAGTTGGTGGTCTCGGCGTGGTTGCTAATTAATCACGCAAAAAAGTATTGTTTTTTTCACTTAATTTGGCAAAATTACACGTGAAAAAAATACACATTAATCGAGCTGTCATGTGAAGATTATTCCTCTCATTGCAGGGGAGTCTCACTGATCTGCGAGAGTTTTCTATGAAATCCTCTTTTATAATATAATGTAAATAGCAAGATTGATTTTTGGTATTTTACCCGTAATTTTAGTTTTTTACCAGGCACTTGTAAGTGGAAATTGAACCGTCGACTTCAAGCAAAATCGGTTTGGTGTAAAGTGCACCGCAACCCGCACATTTGAGTAGCACAGTTGGCTACGTACGGTGCGAAAGAAGTTCAACATACACACATGCAACCGGCATGCCAACAAAGCTTGCAGCAGCAGCAGAGCTGGGCTATCCAATTAATTAAATAAGCTCTTGCTCTACGAATTAATCATCAGGATCGATATCTCAATTCATTATAAAACGTTTGTAAAAAGTATTACACCTCTGCTCACATGTGTGTCGTTAGATGAAAGGGCCTGGAGAGTCTTCGACATCACAGTGAGGCGGAGCTTGTAAGGGATTTCCAGCCTTCAGGAGGCGTGATATCGATGCGAGACCACCATTTGTTTTTGTAAATCAATACGAGCCCAGCACAATGCACAGATCACGATACAGGGGCCACCTATTTTAAATGGGCTACAGTAATCAATTAACATAAACATGTTTTAATTACAATATTTACATTTGATCAACTTAACAGACCAATCTAACGCAGGTTTTTGTTGGGTTATATCGCATATATATATATATAAAATCGCAAATCTGTCTGTCTGTCTGTGTGTGTGTCTATGTGGCCGGACCATACGCAGTTTCATTGGACGGCGGTTGCCCCTGGCAACGGGTAGCGACGCATTCGCTGCGGGGTGGACGCCATTTTTAATTCCCATTAAAAATATGCGCACGCATTAACACGCGACTCTGAGGTAAATTCATCAAAGTTTCACGTCCTCTTCACTCCCCCCCCACCACAATGTGTGCAATTACTATTATAGGGTCGGTAGATAATACAATTATAGCGATTAGACAGTATTATTGTAGCGCGGGGGGGGGGGGGTACCGGACCCAGTACCCAGCCTCAGCCGGGTGGGCAATCTAGGCGAGGCCGGAGGCTCTGCACGGTACTAGGCCTCGACACCCACCACGCGACTCTGAGGTAAATTCATCAAAGTTTCACGTCCTCTTCACTCCCCCCCACCCCAATGTGTGCAATTACTATTATAGGGTCGGTAGATAATAAAATTATAGCGATTAGACAGTATTATTGTAGCGCGGGGGGGGGGGGGGGGAATGGCACCCGTACCCAGCCTCAGCCGGGTGGGCAATTTAGGCGAGGCCGGAGGCTCTGCACGGTACTAGGCCTCGACACCCCACCACACTATAGGCCGTACATATTACTGCACAGCAGCCGAGGAGATCGTGGCTGGGGGGGGGGGCAGGGGTAGCAGCCCATCTGTGTATATATGTAAGGTTATTAAGAAATATATTTTTCACCCGGGCAACGCCGGGTACTCTTATGCTAGTAAATATATAAATACGTAGTTAAACCCATCACCACCCGATACAGCCAATTAGTAAGGGTTGTCACGTAAACAGAACATGACAATTCGTTATTAGTACAGCACACCGGTGTGTTGGAGAGCAAAGCCACAACATTTACAATCTGAAGTACGATATTTCTCTAGTAATTACAACTAGCTTCATCCGGCGACAAACAGATTTGTGGAGAAATCCTTCTGATTCGTTCCTGAAATAGAGGGGTAGATGTTCAGACATCTCTTGTGAGCCCTTCTTGAGCAAAGTGGGGGGGGGGGGGGGGGGGGGGGGGGTGTTAGTGAATGTTTATAAATGGAAATGCTGACTTTCGTGACTGCAGGAATTCATATTCTTTGGGTCTTTCAGTAAAGTCACGTAGATAGGTTCAAAGAAAATAACAAAAAACTACGACGTTTCGATCGCAACACAAGCGGCCGTCATCAGTAAAAGGGGGTTAGCCTCTAACGACAAACCGTTTATAAATGTTTAACATCAACAGGTTAATTTTCTCACATTAACATAGCCACCTCAACGCTTTGCCATTCGAGGCTAACCCCCTTTTCCTTATGACGACCGCTTGTGTTGCAATCGAAACGACGTAGTTTGTTGTTATTTTCTTCGAACCTATCTACGTGACTTTACCGAAACCCCCAAAGAAAATTGAAATGCTGGTTTAGTTATTTACATGGTTCATATTCTTAGATTTTTTTTCGGTAAAGTCACGTAGGTAAAAATTTTAAATTAATAAAAGTACTTATTAATTTTTTTTTACCTACGTGACTTTACCGAAAAAACCTAAGAATATGAATCCTTGCAGTCACGAAAGCTTCAAATCTAGAAATATTTACATGCTAATCAACGTGCATTACGCGTACGCATTACGTAAGCCCATTGTTTTTTTTCTACCTCCTGTCGATTGCATCCTCGTACCTCCCTCCCGTCGAATGACCCAATACCTGCCAGGGTTGGGAAACAAACAAAAAAAACGCGATCATGGCCACTGAACGAGCGGGCGCGGGCGTGTCGCGAGCCGTCTCACTCGCCTTGTCGTCGAGCCTCGCCGGCTCCCTGGTGCGCAAAAGCGCCAAGTCGTTGGGCACGAAGCCCTCGCCGAGGCCGTACTGCTCGTGCACGTGTAGCCGCTCGACCTGCAGCCACTGCTCGTCGACGCTGTCCCCGAACGCCGCCTCCGCGTCGGCGAGGCCGAGCACGGCGTGGAAGTCGGGCAGGCTGCCGTCGGCGCTGAGCGACGCGCGGGCAAAAGAGGGTCGGGGCGGGCAGAGGCATGCAGAACGACAGGGGTTACGGTGCCCGCTCATTCACTCGGTGCCGGATTATCCCAGTAGCAAAAGTAGCTACATGTATTGTAGCTACGGGCCCCGGCACTTTCAAGGGCCCCGCGCTAAATGCTTTCAAGCTATCAATATTCGATCAAGTGATTCTGCACTTGCTCTGTTACTATAGTACTATACTGCCTTCAACTTTTATGAACGACTGGGTGGTTAAGGTTAGCGATTTGTCGTATTATATGTCTGTATAGCAAATTTAAAAAATTACAATTACTTTACTGTGCAAGTTAAACATTAGCATTTTATACTTTCGTGTTTTATTCTATTTAGGGCCCCTTTATAACATGTGCTACAGGCCCCAGACTCGCTTAATCCGGCACTGCAAGAGGGTCGACGGCCGCCCAGCCGGGCGGGCAGAGGGCGGGCGACAGGGGTTAGGTGAGGCGTTACGGTACCCACTCCATGCACGTCTTGCTTAGTTCAGTCCCGTGTCACTGACACGCGGGGCAAGCCGGTGACTCCACTTTTCGCAGTCATCACTCAAGAGCTCCTCTACGTCACATGACGCACCTTGCTGATCTCGTCAAGACGGCTTTTGCCCGGCCGTCGAACAAAGACGGCGGTCACCGCATCGCGCGCGTTCAGGTGCGCTTCTGTGGCCGTCTGGAACGCTCTTCCTTCCGATGTAAGGAAAGCACTGGAGCTAATGCACTTTTAAATCTAGATAGAAAACTAATTTCTTTGGAACTGATTTTAGCGTTTAGTTTGTTGTCCTTCCCGCGCGCCTCCGATGAGCACGGTTGGCTACGTACGGTGCGAAAGAAGTTCAACATACGCACGTGCATGTAACACCGTCGATGCTACGTCTTTCTGCACTGCTTGGGTCGAGCTCATCAGTTCATCAGCATTAGGAAGGAGGTGGATTGTTTCGTGCTTGTTTCCGCTAAACTTTTTATTGCGTCCTGATCGATCGTGAAAGCCTTGGGAGAGAGACGTAGAGTGTGTGTCGACCATGGTTCACGGTTCACCATGACAAAGATTTGTTGCAGTGCCTGCGAGCTACTGCGGCAAGCAGGACTCACTTAAAGCGGACGGAGTATTTTCTTAGCTACCTTAATGCGCTGCAAGCTTTATAGCTGTTTGCATGTTGCCCAGAGTGCATCTCGATTCACTGAACAGCGCTGTTTGCATCGCTGTAACCAAATGTTAACGTGCTGCTGCTACTGCTGCTGAAGTGGGGGTTTCATATCTGAGCTAATTATATCCGTTCGCGTTGCTTTGTTGCAATGTAAGTCTTTTAAATGTAGAACGCTGCAATGCCGAATGTCAAAATATTCGTAAGTCCCTTCTCAAAATTGTTCACGCCAATATATTCAATTTTTATTATTTTATTACTTCCCTTCTACGTGACTTTACCGAAAGAACCAAGAAGATGATCTCAAGACTTAGTCAGGGATTCATGAGTAAAATAAAAGACACTTATTTAATTTGATTGTATTTTTCGAGTACAATAGCCCTGGTCATAATCTGCGTATGACTTGAGTTCTTAAAATACGAAATAAAATGCCATATAATGCTTCAAATAAAGTGCTTTGCCTTGAATATATAAGTGATTATGATCACGGTCCTTTGTCAGGGTGCCACGGTGGTGAGATGTTAACTACCTCGCCTGGTATGCAGGAGGTCTTGGGTTTGATCCCAACCCTTACGCCGGTATATTTGGAGTTTGCATATTCTCCCCGTGATCGTGCGGTTTTTCTCCGGGTCCTCCAGTTTCTCCCTCCACATTTAGAATCAACATCGTGCCTTTAGAGTATTTGGTTGCTATAAATGTCCAAACGAAAGGCCCACTTCGTTGACCTATCATTTGTGATCAGGTCGCTACTGAAAAAGAGCTATATTGCTCAAATTGTCCTTACGGCTAAAATAAAATAAAGTTTAGTTTTATAGTTAAGCTACTTTTGGATAATCACCTCTTCGTGCTTTGTCGGTCAACGCTGATGGGTAAAGGGAGATTGTTAATTCAGTTATTACTCATCACTCATGATAGCCACAGTCAAGATTCTGACTTAGGTGTGCCGGGTCCATAGTACACCACTCCGCCGTCATCCCCCCTGCATGTATTGGATAAGATCAAATAAGAATTTGCAATTCTGAAATATTTAGCATCACAAATTTCAGTTCTTAACCATTTTTCCACTTGAAACCCAGAATGTAAATGCAAACTTCAACCTTTTGTGTGTATATTTCTTTTTTCTCACAGACAGTGAGGAACTCCTTTTATGTCAAATCAAAACACAAGGGCATGAGAGAGCTATTAAGTCAATAGAATAGTGTTACACTCGTGCACCTGCCATTCTAAAGGAAATGTTCAAAGCCTAATTTGATTGACACTTTGATGGAAACTTAGTTTGTACTACAGTCAGCATTTTATTTGAGTTTAAAGCCTCGGACCAAATTGACGCTAAATTGTTGCAGCAGGCGAAGCGATGTGAGCTGTGCAAATCCGGGATTATGATTGACTCCATCCCAACACCACAAGGCTCCTCGGGCCTCGGTGACACGTGGGAGGCACGTGACCCTCTCAGCGCCCCTCTGCCAATTCATTGCCGCAGTAATTTGAAAAGCAGTAGATTCTCACAAACGATTACTCGATCGCGTCGAGTGAAATCGTTCCGTACGCCTCTGACGCACTCATTGAATCGTCTGGGTGGTGTATCGCTCAGGATGACCGCTGCAAAGTATGATCTTGAGTTTTGGTTACAGTGTGCTAATGTTTAAATGTACATTGAACATTTTTGATATTCCTACCGATACTCCTGCTGTAATGGAGTGACTTATGCTGCCAGCTATGGCTGCAAAGTTTGGTCGTGCATGTTATGTCTCTCGTGTATTGTTAAATTTGAATCACAGTTCCTATGATCACTGTTACATTGTTTTTATAGCTCTATTTTGGTGATTTCGGAAACGTTTTGGTTTAGCCATATGTGTTTCTTGTAGTACAGAGTTAGACTGGTAACTTTAATATAAATTGTCTTATGGTTGTTATTGTTTGACTCGCATCCCACTGGGATTTTTGCACACAGCGTTGATATACGGTGCTTTATTCTGGAAGATTTTGCATGTTTTTTTCCTGGATTTTTCTGTTGCGCATAGTCACTTTAGGATGTTTCTTGTTCATGTTTTTGTTTGTTGCGGTTGCACCCGATTCAAGAGCAGCATGGCTCACAGGGCTATACCAAATACATGACCTGAACTGAATTGGTTATTTCGGAGCCGTGCGAAATATATATATAGTCACAATAAGACTGTGTCTAAACGATAGACAGTAAAGTGATGCAGACCCCTTGTGTTACGGAGCAGAGAAGCAGTCTAGATAGGAAAGATGCCGCAGATGAAACAGCACAATCGGGGCAGAAAAAGACAGGTCCACAAGAATCAATTCTCGAGTTGAATTGTAACCCTGAATCATGACAATGAAATTGGTGTGGGTGTGAACCATTACATGCCAAGTCGATCTCGTGATCAATTAATGATGCCGTATGCTATGTCACACCACATATACACCTGCCACACTAATTAATTCAATACATTGATCAAATTCATTTGCATTCATTCTATAAACGCAACATACCCGAGGCAGCGACGCGACTGCTAAGTTCACGCGGTGTGACACCGTCTCTCGCAAGCGTCCCACCTATTATGTGTAATGAGTCTCACAGAGCAATCACGTTTATTTCTCGTGTGCAGTAATTAACAACAACAACAAGAGTCAGCCCCATTTGTCAATCCAATTCTAAAAGGCCTGCCCAAGCTGCATCAGTCATGATGGCGGGTGGGGGGGTGGGTTGCGTTTTTGAAGAGGAGGAGGAAGGGGGGGGCTAAGGATCGGGTCAGATATCACGAACCAATAATGATAGCCGTGGTCAGGAGTCAAACTCAGGTTTGTTGAGTCCACCGAGCAGTGCATTGACCGCCACGCCACGAGCCCCCCCCCCCCCTTCACACGTAACATGCACACAGACGTACGGACTGAACTCCTGTTAAAGTGCAAGCGCAGTGGCAACTTCGGCTGTCCAGGCTGTCCGTCCACCCTCCATCTCTACTCGCATTCATTGCCGCTGTCTAAAGAGACTCACGGAGTCTCACAGCAACTATGCCACGCGTGCTAGGCGATCTATTCATATGAAAGTTATTGGCCTACGTCTGACATATGGTGGGTGGTGGTGGTGGACACCAATAGGTCAGACAGGCAACGCTCGGGTGAACACGGCACGGTTTAATTTGAGCCGACGGTCGCTCAGCGTTCGTGACCACCGCTCCAGGTCAGGAGAGGGAAGTGACCCGTTCCAGGTCTTTAATGGTCCCACGGACTCGTGTGGCAGACATATTAGAGAGAGAGAGAGAGTGTGTGTGTGTGTGATTGAAGAGAGGAGGTCTCCTCGTGACACTGAGGACCCATTAATGTCTGCTCTGCAATTACTTGCCGCGGCTCGCACCTGCTGCAAGGAATTTGAAAAATCCAGAGATCACTTGGCATGCAACTGCTGACGGTAAAGCTGAAGGTGAGCGAGGAGTAGCGATGTCGTATTCTCCGGCAATGTAAAAAAACACCTTTAAATAAAAACACATTTGGGGTGCATCTAATATTCCAGTAGGTGTGTATGTGTGTGTGTGCATGAGACCAGATTTATATAACTCTATTGATGACAAGCTGAGTCTTGTTAACCGGAGGGTTTCATTATAATCAGGAGAACACGGTCAAATGTATTTATCATGCCCACTCAACAATATAATTAATGAATATCCATAACAGCGTCCGTGGCCATGTCTGTACCTTAAATCGTTACGAAATGGTCTCGCCGCAATTCATATGAAACCTTATAATGACCTAGCCTGTAGCCCGTCCAAGGACGGGCGTATTGCAGTAAATCTGAAACATTCAAGCGAAAAGCAGACCGCGACTTGATATTCATTGCATCCATTCGTGTGCAATTTGTAAGGGCGCGGTGACACAGACTTATTTCATTTTAAAGGTTATAATCTCTTATTCATCATGACGTCCTTTTTACTTCGATGTCTCAACAGCGTGACGGAGATCGCGTGACGTGAGGGTTCTGCCTTTGTAGTGAGGGTTGTAAGTTGACGCTGAGGAGGGGGAGGAGGCGCCCCCCCCCCCCCATGTGGAGTGACGTTACCCGCTCCCCGCTCATGATTATTAATGAGGGGGGCTAGTCGACGGGGAGTGACGTCACCCACGTTACACACAAACAGACATTCTTGGCTCATTATAGCAGTAATTCACGTTAAAAAAATCCCTCAAAACACAATGAGATACACAACATGTTTTCCCTTGAACGCGAGAACTCGTGGGAACAGCTTAATGAGTCTCCTCGTGTTCGCTCATGTGGACCAGGAAAGGTATTTGAGCATTCACGGCTTGTCCCTTACGACTTGATCAAAAAACATATGTATTAAAAAAATTTATGTACACACACACGTGTCAAACTTGCAATATCGGACGGGGAATTAAGCCCGTGCTTTGCTATTTAAAATATTAAGGAATTTTGATTTGAATAACAAAAAATTACGTCGAATGTGTTTTATCGGTGCTTCCGTTTTGTTCCAAGTGCGATCAATCACGCGTGCCTCGTGTGAGAGTTTAGAATTTGGCCTGCAGTCATCATGGGAATTCACGTAAAAATATTCTACACCTGGGCTTCATCACCTGGGACGCCAGGCCCGTGTTCTCAATAACTATGTCAGTGATCGTAACATAAAACACATGAAAAGAAAACGAGGATAAAACTTTAAAATGTATTCGGAAGCGCGATTACTCTATTATTTTTCTCCCTCTCTTGAGAGGCAGCTGCCGTTTTGATAAAAAAAAGGATGAGTTAATTATTTCATCGTGACTTAATTTCTCGAGTGAGTCTCAGCCGACAGAAATGTAAATTTGTATGCAGACTCACGCCTACTTAGGCCAAGTGTAGGGCTTCCCTAAACAAGCGGCAGACTGTGTCAAGAAATTTGGCATTAAAATTGGGCATCAAGGCATCGCGCGCTCTCAGATGTGCTTCTGCGGCCGTCTGGAACGCTCTTCCTTCCGATATTAGGAATCCACCAGAGCGATGCATTTTTAGATATATATTGATGAACGTATTTCTTTGCCACTTCATTTTGTGTTTAGTTTGGTGTCCTTCCGCCGCGCCTCCGACTGGCGCGGTTGGCTATGTACGGTGCGAAAAAAGTTCAACGTACGTACGTACAAGAGATAGCCTGATGGTTTGGACTTTCACGGCTGCCCTGGCCGCAAAGAGCGCAACTTCTTTGCGCCAGCAGCCACTGAAGTCGTGTGGCATGGCATTTCTAGAGCACGCCTGCTCTAGAAAGTGGACATCAAAAAATCCCGTGATATCATTCACAGCGGGGCATCGTTTTGTCTCGGTGTCAGGGCACAACTTTTCCAACACTCAGATTTATCCACAATTAACCCATGAATCCTACCCTGTCGGGGCTATCACACTCTGTCGACACTGCCAGATGTTTAACCTTAGCCCCAGAGGCAGCGGGTTCAAATATTCTTTGGTGGAGTTTAAATATATTTTGGGGGCTAAAATAATGCTTTTAAAAACTATGAATGAAAAAATAGATAAAAACATTTTTACAAAAAAATCAGAAAAGGTATTTCTGAAAACGTAAGAAAGCAAGTTATCCACGAGCAGGACACGTGGCAGACATGACCCAGGCAAGGGCTTCACCAATTGTGCTCTTTCTAGTGGTGACCTTTCACTGTCACGCAGAGTCTGGCTTCAAAAGTGTTCGAATGTTAGAGCTGCTCAATAGGATAGAAACGGGGTATGTCCTGTAATCCGAATGCTCGGCCGTCTCACACCGGTTGACTGGAGTAAGCCTTGACGCTCGTTCTGCGTAAAAGGTGAAGTGTAACCAGTGAGGATGGAGTTGAAAACTATCCACTAAAAAAAGGCATTTTAGGTTGGCCTTAACCAACTAAGCCTCTCATACTCGGCATCTCCTCAATACAGCACTAACACAATGCAATTTGGTTTCGTAAACTGGCTATTTGCGTCTGCAAATGAAGACGCCGTACAAAGAGGGCGGTAACATGCGCATCGAGAGAGTTTGACAGAGAGGAGCTTTTAAGGATTTTATTTTTTGAAAGCAGGGAATTGATGGGTGGAATGCTACGGGCTAGAGGCGGAGTTGATATGACGCTATCGCAGAAGTACAAAATTCAGACACTTCACAGCCAGGGACACTCACAGAAGATAAAGAGAAAGGTCTTGAGCCTCGGCTTCCATCGTGGTAAGGATCTCGGCAGAGGACACTGCCAAAGGAAGGGAATTCCAGATAATGAGGGCAGTAGCAGAGAATGGGCGGTCTCCCATTGAGTGAAGATTGAATCAGAGTATTCTTTTACGAAAGCCCTTCATTTTGAGCGCAGAGAGCACGTGAAGGGGAGTTCGAGGGAGATAAGTGAGCCTGGCAAGAGCTGGTCCTTGGAGGAACTTGAAGATGGTTTTGGCGATCTTGAAGCTGACTTAGCAATGGGTTGGGAGGTAGCAGAATGACAAACGAACCGGGATTATGTAATCTCAGGATGATTTTGGGATTTCTAATTTTTTAGATTTTTAACCAAGTTTCAAGATATTTTTCGTGATGTCAGATAATTTAGCTCGTGTTTTATTTCTATTTGTCATCAGGATAACAAAACGGCTGTCACTCAGTGCCACGGGGATACCAATTTTTTCCGGGAAATCTGCGGAAGTGATGCCATCCGAGCAATGATGGTATCACTTCAATCTCGGATCGTCCAAAATGTTTCCCATCGAGGTCTGATTCATTAATCTTTTTATTCACCTAAAACACAGGTTTTTTTTGTTAGATATGTTCACTTTTGTCAATTCAATTAACCCGGGGAACACATCTCTGATGCGATCTCGCCGTTGGGGGCAGACGGGAAGTCTGCAGGCAGCGTCTAGACACCAGTGGGAATAGTCGCGAACGAAGGCTGCCCAAAGTGGCGGCAGCCCAAAATGTTCCACTCACTTCTTCCGAATGCAGTGCGCCGCCGTGAGAATCCACCGTGGGTGGATGAGCGACGCTCCGCAAATTCCTGACCTGTAATTTTTGCCCGGGCGCAGAGAAGCCTGTAGTGGGAAAAGAAAAAAAACAGAAACAATTCATAGAGAAGGGGGTTTGTTTTTTGTTGTTGTTGGGTTAGATCACGTAAATATAAATTGTTCGTTAAACCCACCACCACCATCCCACACAGCGGTACACTTAAACAAAACGTGCCAATGATGTACTTCTTCAGCACACCCGTGTGTTGGAGAGTAAAGCCACAACATTTACAATTTAAGTAGTACGACGTTTCGCTGGTTATTACAACCAGCTTGATCAGGCGAGTTGCCACAATTATTGGAAATGATATTTTTTTTACTTTACAACTGCATGTTGACAAGTACAGTATTTGTGTTCATGTGAGTCTAAGTGTGTGTGTTCGGTAACCAGTGCAAATGCAGTACGTGATCAAAGCTGTCTGTGTTATCGTGGCGGTTAGAATATCACCGGCGCACTGACGTTAGGCTGGGCCAACAATGGAACTCAGGTGACCCGGTTGACGGTGCAGTGAGCGTGCCGACCAATGAACCACCGGTGCACACACGTGTGACTGCATACATGGCCTTATACGAGTTGCCAAATAATACCCGCAAATGCATCTTCGTTGGGCATGTCTGTGTCAAACATGGTCCAAATTTTTTTTTTAAGACCCGCAAGTTAATCAAACGGCAGAATACAGAGCAATCATCGCCCCCCCCCCCCCCCGCCGTGCCGCACCTCCCCACAAAAATCGCGTTGAGACTCAGCTAAGCTATCTCGGGTAAGTAACCTTTATAATCATAAAGCACGTGGCTCTGACGCACCGGGGAGAATACATTTTACGAACTGGAAGCAACGGGAAGGAATGTGCTCAACGAACACGCGCGCACATTAGTATCGATCCATTGTTATTGCGTTCATAATGGCCTCCCCTTTGTGTCAAGCTTGCATAGCTGTACTCGTGCCGGGGCTGAATTAATATCCAATTATGGTGCAAAGCCACAGCAGGACAAACACACACACCGGGCACGGCGGAAAGGGAACCTGCGAGTGGACAACAAATAAAATATCCCTGCACGAGGCAATGCACCCTTGCCGGTGTACTTCACTAAAAAGGCTCGCAGGGCTCGGCACACGCGCACTTGATTAAAACTCAGGGTACACACACTCATCGACTCTTAAAGGGGCATTCCATTTATTTATACTGCACCAACACTGGTCACAGGTACAGCACCCCCCCCCCCCCCATTCACTGCCTGACGACACGACTCACAAGGCCGCCTGCTCGTTCACTTCAAAAGCGCTTCAGTGCTTCGGGAAATACTTGTGGAGGAGCGGTGATTCAACAGTGAATTGTCCTGATTTAGGGTTACAATTCATTGGAGTGACTTTTGCAGCCACGAGTGTCTTGCAGAGGTGACTCGAAACCCACTACATGTAACGTGTCACAGCCAGCCATGATAAATCCACTGCTGAATGAAGGCCTCCCCAATTCATCGCCATCCCTCTCAATTGCATCTGAGCACGGACGTATCGCTCCATCTCTGCGCTGGACGTCCTCTCGGGCGCATTGCCTCCCTTACCAGACAAAAGTGCCGAGCCGGCGTTTTAATGCCCCTCCGTTTTGCACCGGATTCCATGCCCGCGTGCATTAAAGCATCCACTGGCCTTGACTACAAGAATATCACCTTGAACGTGTGCCCAAGTTCATTGGCTCGAGTAAAAGCTGAGCGGGGATTAGCCTCGTTATTACGGGATGTAAGCATGGATTTAAATTTTAATGATGAATTCAAAATTTGATGATGCATTTGAATTCATAATTTTATGTGTCCAATTGCATATTTAGGAGTTTGTTTTTTTGTTGTTGTTGCTGGATTGGTCGATGTTGTTAAGAAAAGTAACTTTGGCTTGGGCGGAACACGTCGCTGAAAGGGGTCGGATACGCAGTGGCACGGAGTGCGCCCAAGAATGCGTTCTTGACTCGAATTCTAAACTTGAATCGGGACCATTCATCGAATCACCACGAGGCACATCATTCCGCATTAATCTGCTTTCTTGCTTGGATGGGCGATAGTCACGGAATACCAGGCGCTGTAGGTTTGGGCTGTGAGGTCGCTAGCATACAACAGTACAGCAGGGAAATTGGTGCTTGGAGACATTTTGTGAAAGGTGCTTTATAAGCGGCAATTATTTCTTCTTAAATCCATCTGTGCGGAGTTTCATCCCTATTTTCTCCGACACAAAGGCAAAGACTCATGAGTGGAAATTACCAGTTTAACACGTAGTACGCCTTCGCGACCAGTGGATCCATAATAGAGGCGTTTTGGGTGAGGTCGCGTAAATATGACTGCATCGTTAAACCCGCCACCACCCGACACAGCCAATTAGTAAGGTTTGTCACGTAACCAAAACGTGCCAATTCGTTACGATCTTCTTGGTTCTTTCGGTAAAGTCACGTAGAATGGAAATAATAAAATAATAAAATTAAAACATAATAAAATAATTCTCACGACGTTTCGGCCACAACGCAAGCAGCCGTCCTCAGGTGGAGAACAGGTCTGTCGAGAAGACAGAGTCTGATTCTGTCTTCACAGGTCTGTGGCCGAAACGTCGTGAGAATTATTTTATTATGTTTTATTTTTATTATTTTATTACTTCCATTCTACGTGACTTTACCGAAAGAACCAACAAATTGAATCCCTGCGAGTCACGAAAGCTTTAAATCGAAAATTAGTTACGAGTTCAGCACGCCGTCGTGTTGGAGAGTAAACCCACAACATTGTAGCAGGATCTGCCCGAGAACGAGCCACGACACTCAGTGATGTATTCCTGGGTAAATAAAGGTCACCATTGTGTGTGGTTAGCTCGTCCCTAAGAACTAAACTTCAGATCAAAGCAGAGCACGAGCAATGTGCGCCTTCCCTGCTCTGTGACTAATGCGGCAGTAAATTTGTCGATCCAATTCCGCATAAATCACCCGACCACTACAATGCAAACGATGTGCTCGCTCACTCGCTCGCTCGCTGTGTTACAGTTCTAAAGCCCATTAAGAGTGTCACTATTGACAACTGCCCGGGACCCGTTAGCGTGTCACGTATTGATGCCGTGCAAACCCCAAAACAAAACTTTGCAACGGCCGTGTGAGTTTAAAAAATCTGTCTGCATCGAAGCTCGAACCTAGGATGAACTGTGCAAGCGGCGATGGCGAATGGAGTAATGAAGAGACAGTTTAATTCATCTCTTAGGAAATTAACAGTACGAGTCAAAGATTCGGGGTTGCGTGGTGGGGGACGGGGAGGGTTTGGCAGAGGTTTGATCAAAATGTAATTTAATGCTTGTTTGTTTTTTCATTTGTAACATCTAGCTTAAATGATTTTCATCAAATACATTCTCTCTTAATGTGATTGAAGTTGCAAAGTGAAACATAATTGGACAAACCGAGCCAAGGCGCATATTCCACAGACCTCACTGACCTGGACCGAATCATAAAAAATCATCACGATCGACCTGGAAGATGACCACATTTGCTCGCTTAATTTTTTTATAAACGCTCACGTACATCGCTTGCTGGCACAGAAATGTGCACACATGACCTTTGATGAAATGTGGGACCGTTAGGGCAAGCGTGTGTAGAGATCGTCATTTTGCAAGTTAGGCGTGACATCATAATATAGCTTGTGTGCTCATCTACATAACATATCCTCTGTGTGCATATACGCACATTCCTTCGTGTGTGAATCTAGCAGAGATGTGTGTATGTGCGTGTGTAGTGATGGGAATAGGTGGCGTAGTGGTCAGCGCGCTGTGCTAGGAACCCGGCGATCCGAGTTCTATTCCCGCTCAAGGCCAACACCAGTGACGATTATCTGAACCGGTGGACATCCCCTAGGTCGACTCAGCCTCAAATGAGTACCTGGTGCAGTGTGTAAACATCACCACTTGGGAGACAAAAGGCGGCCAGGCGTGGTGCTGACCACCCACCCCCTCGTGCCGGCTTTCATAGGCGCTCGCTTCCAGCACTTGCCCCAATAGTCTGTTCAGCCTATACGGGGGATGTTTGTCTTTGTCTCTGTAGCGATGGTGTGTGTGTGTATCAGTGGTGCAGTGCAATTAAGTATTCGCAAATGTGTCGTCACACACAGCAGGAAGGTATAACTCCCATCATCCCTTGCATGCGTGTCATGTGACCATCACATTGCATGTGCAATGCTGTCAGCCTAAATTTTGATTTAAAGCTTTCGTGACTGCAGGGATCTATATTCTTGGTTCTTTCGGTAAAGTCACGTAGAAGGGAAATAATAAAATAATAAAAATATAAAACAATACAAAATTCTCACGACGTTTCGACTGCAACACAAGCAATCATCATCAGGTGTGAAATCAACAGCAAGGAAATGTGATGATGATTGCTTGTGTTGCAGTCGAAACGTCGTGAGAATTTTTTATTGTTTTATATTTTTATTATTTTATTATTTCCCTTCTACGTGACTTTACCGAAAGAACCAAGAATATGCTGTCAGCCTAATTAATCAAAATAAACGACGAAAATGTGGCCATCCCATTGGGCAGCATTGTGATGAAAAAAAGAGAGAACTGTACATGCGTGTTGTCCTAATTAGGACTCATCAGTAAAGTCATCGATGCTCAGTGGTAAGCACACTCTTCTACGAACCCAGAAACCTGAGATCTCTGCCTGGCCATGGCAAACATCACCGGGAAGTGGTGTCAGCACCAGTCCTGGGCCTCCTCTAGATTGACTCAGCCTCAAATGAGTAACCTCGTCTTCCACGTTAACATAATAGCTGTATATATATAGGTGGGCAGAGGTGGTGCAGGCCACAATACTCCCTTCGGCGTTGTGTCAGTGTGAAATAGGCGCTCGCTAACGGCACTTAATCAATGGCTCGTTTTGCCCAGAACAAACTAAGGACTTATGGCAAAAAACAGGTGATGTACCGTCCATGACTTTTGACCGTGGTCATCAAGCCATCACCAAAACGATAACCAACATCATAATCAACCACGATTGTTCCACTGCTGGATAAAGGTCTCCCCAAGTCATCATCTTGGCTCGTGCTGACTTGGAGAGAAGAATACCTCAACACGTGACCCAACCTGAAATACCGCACTCGGATGTTTGGAACAAATGAAGCTGTTTGGGGTGGAACGGTAGGGTCCCTAGAACTGTGCAAATTCCGCAGACACTTTCTCATACAGGTTCCCCTCGCTCTGTGCGGACCCCCGTTTGCGTGATCTCACGCTGCGTGCGCGGTCAACCTGTGTCCACCCAAAACTTCGCCGCGTCGTGCGGTTTCGAGTTCACTCCGCGTGCGTCCACGCGGTCGGACGTGCCGCCACATTGGGCGCCTGCCGAGTGCGCGTTGGTGACGGACTCACCATCCAGGGCCAGGAGTTGGGATGCGAGAATTCTCCGCCGACAATCCGCCCCAGGCCCGTGCTCGCGAACACCGGCTTGTAGTACGAGCGCCCACACGTTTCTAAAACAGCGCGGCCGTGAAGGACAGGGAACGGCGGCACGCGGGTGAGGAGTGGTGGGGGGGGGGGGATTCAGCTTTCCAGACGGCGGAACTCGAAATAATTAGCAGTCAGCATTATACCCCACGCAGATCAATAACCGCGAGCGGTTCAACAGAGCCACGCTAGGGCTTACATTTTCAAAGATCAATGGGATTTTCTCATTGTGAGCAGTCACCGGTATACACCGATGCAGAATTATGCGTGCGCTTTTTCGTGGAATATTAATGCTAGAGGTGTAGATGGTGATAAAACCTTGAAGCACGGTTTGCATGCATACAATACATACCACCATTTAGGCATGCCAACGCAGAAGCATAATACAGTCAGTATGTACAGTTACGGGCTCATGGGGCAAGTGTTGTTAGCGAACGCCTATTAAGGTGTGGGGTTTCGACAGTTGTGATGGTTTGAGCGTGTGTGTTGCTCAATGCTCAATCAGCGCAGCCAGAGTTTAAGTTTGTTTTGTCTGATTTCATTTTTCATGTACGTAGTTTATTATTGTTTACTTCATCTGAATCTGATGTTTATGGTTTAAATGCTTGCTCTGTGCAGCGTTTTGAGAAGCTTATTTTGTATTTATAGGATATAAACATTCAAATAGTTGTGCATATTTTTGGGAAGCAGCGAAGCAGAAGTTTACGCGCCGCTCTCTGTGAACCGTGCGACCTGAAATCCCGGCCACAGCTCACATCGCCGGGCGGTGATATCAGACCGCTGCTGGGCTCCCCATTTACTAACCCAAATGTGACCAGCGTGGTGAAGTATGGTGAAAAATAAAAACTACTCAATCGCGATTATACAAAGCAAATAATCGGCCCTTCTAAAAAAACTAAAGTTGGTCCTGCCAAGAGCAATTTTTCAAATGTGACCAGCGTGGTGAAGTATGGTGAAATTCGAAACACTGCCCTACATTACGTGATCGGGTTTATACAGAGTGGCCCAAAATTCAAGACACTCACATTATAACATTTTAATTGTTGATTACTTAAGTTGATATTGTATCTATGATCATTATTAATCTACGTTTCTTCTTCCTGCGAGGTCACCTCAAATCGTCTGCAAAACTCAACCAAAGTACCCTGAATTAATTGAGACAAAGTATAAATTATGCATGTTCAAAGATTACAACCCGTAATCTTTGAACATGCATGAATTAGTGTTAATGGTATTCAGTTTAAACATTAGTTAAAATAAATTATATAACCCTCTGTGATTCGTTAAAACGAGTATAATAACCCTACGTGCCCTGTCTTTTGGTATACCCTTTACACAGCGAATCAGAGGCCCCCCTTCTGCAACAACAACAAAAAACACTTGGCAGGACTCTTCTGAAAAAGAGGCACGCGGCTCAGTGAGGCTTCCTTGGGTTAAACGAGCGTGATAATGAACTCCGGTCATCCTCGCAGCAGCAGATTTTGGCTCGTCGTTAAACAAAGACGAGTCACTGCGTCGTACGCTTTCAAAATGCGCATCTGCGGCCGTCTGGAACGCTCTTTCTTTTGATATTAGGAAGCCGCTGGAGCTACGCACTTTTAAACAATCTAGATTGAAAACGCATTTCTTTAAAATTGCTTTTTGTGTTTAGTTTGTTGTCCTTCCCCTGCACCTCCGATTAGCATGGTTGGCTACGTACAATGAGTGGTCATATAATCCTCATCATTGATGCTGCATGGGACGGGACTTGATCGAGCAGTGGCGAGTGGCCCTCTTGAGCGAACCCCTGATGGACAGCTGTGAAAAGAGCTTCTTAGCTCGTCGGATTTCTCCAGGATAAATAAAGATTCTGATTTTGTTCCTGGAAAAGACAAGGATTTCCTGAATAACTAAATGGCATGATTGTTCCTGTATGATACCTGGGTGATTGTCCTATGCATGAACACCCTTTGATTGGCTAAACACATCTAAACATATTGCTAACTCTGTGCGTTGTGGATTGTCGAACGTTGTGAGATGTGCTTTGCATGAACGACGCTCCGATATATATGTTTCTATTTATTTGAGGACATTTTATCGAGATGCATTTAGATGCCATATAAATGTTTAAAAAAAATTACGATTTGACTGGGAAAATCAGTGAAGCACAGCTATCATAATATTTATTTAGACTGAATGAATCCGATGGGGGTATCAAGCTCTTTTTCACAATAGGGACGGGCTAGAACGTCACAACGATAAACACAATACAAAAAACACAATAGGAGTGCAAAGGACAAGAAAGGTAAACAAATCACCCAAACACAAACAAATACAACAGGAAACCATCCACATCCTGCCAGTCAAAGCCCACTGAGGTGTTAAATAATTTTTCAGACGCGACTTGGCCACAAATGATAGCTCAACAAAGTAGCCCATCATTTGGACATTTATATCAGCAAAATAATCTGAATAGTCTCAATGGATGTTTCTAGCCGGGTGAGATAGCGAATTGAATGAAACAATCAATTTGAACAACTGGATGCAACTGGCAGGAATATCTCGTGCTAAGTTCTTGAGTAATCTCTTCAGTAGGGGCGGTGTAAGAAATTCACAACAACAAACAACACAGAAAACACAACAGGAGTGCAAAAGATAGAAAAGGTAAGCAAGTCACGAACAATAAATAAAAGGCGTAAGTGCTGCTTGCATAAGTAGCTCCTGCCGATGTTTCAACACGAAACGCAACACTAAATGCAAGCTCGGGCACGACAGAGAAACAAGCACAAACACATATTCTTGGTTCTTTCGGTAAAGTCAGGAAATAGAAAGAAAAAAATATCCAAAAAATGTAAGTAAAATAAAAAAATTAAAAACAAATGTAGATAATTAAAATAAAATAAAAAATACAAATAATACATTTAAAATAATAAAAGCAAAAACCCCACGACGTTTCGATCGCAACACAAGCGGTCTTCATCAGGCGCTTGATGAAGACCGCTTTATTTTTTTATTGTGGTTTTTGCTTTTATTATTTTCAATTGATTATTTTGTATTTTATTATTTTTATGTTTTTATGTTTATTTTACTTTAATTTGTTTTATTTTTTGTTTTCTATTTACGTGACTTTACCGAAAGAACCAAGAATATGAATTCCTGCAGTCACGAAAGTTTCAAGCAAAAATTTTAAAACAAACAACAGTCCCATACCACACCAACACAACAACAACAACAACACGCGGTCCCTCGATACGACGGCAGAAAAGGAAGCAGGCAACGATCGCCAATGACTGTCGATAACAAGCGCACAGCGAGGCGAGAGCGAAAGACAGAGACAGAGACGCGTTTCAAACGTCCGTCGCCCTCTGTTATTGCCGCAGCGTGGTGCACTCACTGCAGTGAGTTATTCCGCAGTATTGCCAGCGGGTGGCGCTGTCCGTCGTGTAGCACCAGGGCCCCGCGAGATCCCCGTCCGGGTTGCGGCAGTAGCCGAGGCTCAGGTCGGCTTCGGTGTAGTTCGCGGGCACGAACTGGTGCAGGTGGGGGCTCTGCGAGGCCCATGCCTGGCACGTCTTGCCGCCGCTCGTGACGCCCTGCGTTCCACGGTAGCCGCGCGAGCCGAACACGCAGTCCTGGCCGTACAACGCCGTGCTGGGCAGGGTGTCTGTATTGGAGCGGGCGTGGGGGGGGGGGCAGGTTAATTTGTTTGATGAATTGGGGGATGAACCAAAAAAAACGGGGTGGGGGGAGAACTGAGAATGGGGGGTAAAGGGCGTCGTGAATGTTGCGATTTTGTGTTAGCCGTGGTTGTTCTCTGGGTGGGATCGCTCTCGCCACAGGTAACGTGGAATTTCCACCGCTGGCTCCAGAGCTGTTAACAGGAGACGTTGGGCCGCCTTTAACGCTCAATCGAGCAGAAAAACAATTTTAACTATTTTGCATGTAGATACCCGTTTACATGATTGATATGACTTGTGATTTATAGACACACAAAAATCACAGTCTGGTGCAAACTGAAAAGTCATTAGTTTCGCTTTGAACCGGGTACAGACTCAGCGAGAAAGAGTTATGGTCTAACGCCCATATTTTTTAAAAAGAGTGCATTTTTACTTTTCATTTCCAAAAGTAAACGACTTTATTTGTTCAATATGGGCCACTTTTGTATGCTAGGGGGAAAAGCCCCCACTTTGTCCGGCATGGGAATTTGTCTCAATTGTGTTGAGAGTTCACCATAGGGACCTCTCGTCTGCAGAGTAAACAACAATCGCTGAGCCGTTGCTTCCACCTCAATAGAACACACGTGCCTCGCTCAGATCCTGCCGAAACAGCTCACTACACACGAGTCTAGAACGCGTGCCCTCCACTCGAGCACTGGATTTAAATGCATGAAATATTGACGCAAAGCCAACGCGACTGGGAGGCCCATTGCCGCGACCACGCCGGAAATATTTTCGCGCACAAAGAAACAAAAACAGGAACCCTACAAACGCCGCATTTGTTACGGAAAAAAATTTACCCGTAAAAACAAAGTTTTTCACTATCAATCCTTTATATGCGTGGCGGCTAGAGTCCTCTCGTCCTCTGGCTTGGGATGGCTGCCACATATGGGTCAGATGATTGTTTGCCACCATTAAGCAATTGGTAATTACATATAAAAAAAAAATTCTAAAAAGTGTCAAATTTAGGAAAAAAAAATTCACGAACATTAATTGTCACGCACAACGAGTCGGTGTGCAAAATGCCAGCTCGATTGGATCACGGGAAGTGGGTAAAAAAACGACCGAAAGATTTGCACGGTCGTAAGCAAGCAAGCAAGTGAACTTAATATAAAGGATTTAAAAAATTAACCCGTAAAAACAAAGTTTTTCACTATAAATCCTTTATATGCGTGGCATCGGGGCGGATAGAGTCCTCTCGTCCTCTGGCTTTAGATGGCTGCCACCTATGGGTCAGATGATTGTCTGCCACCATTAAGCAATTGGTAATTAAATATTGTAAAACAATTCCCTAAACATTGTAAAATTTTCGAAAAAAAATTTCACGAAAATTAATTGTCACGCACAACGAGTCTGTGTGCAAAATGTCAGCTCGATTGGATCACGGGAAGTGGGTTAAAAAACGACCGAAAGATTTGCACGATCGTAAGCAAGCAAGCAAACACGCAAGCAAGCAAGTGAACTTAATATAAAGGATTTAAAAATGAAACGTTCGGGTGGCAGTGAGGGCCACCATGCTCCCCTTCACACGGCAGTCTGACCAGCCCCGCCGCTCCGCGGACGCACAATCATCGCGCTGCGGTAGAGCCGCCTTGCTTTATTCACGCTCTTAAGCTCAACGATCGTTCGTGGGCCGTTTGCTGCCAAAGCCCAACCCCTTGAGCCACTGCTCCCACACGGGGCGTGCTGATATACGCCGCCCGCCTCTCTCTCTCTCTCTGTTTTTGTTTTAAGTGTGGGCGTTCACTTGCGCCCAGCGCAGCCGCGATCAGTCACGTAATCGAATAGCATCGATCGCCCCACGGATCAATTTCCACCATAATCGCTCAATTTGGAGTCTGCGGCCCCGTCGACGGCGAGGTGGGATTAATCCGCTCGTCTCCCTTTTATCCGCGATATCTGCTGGATCGTTTGATCCAAGTTGACAACATTTGGAGGGGGATAGACGGCGTGATTGAGCTTCGGGCTGAATGGGCCAAAGGGCAAGCACACAGCGCTCGTAAGGGCCCCGCCAAATCCCGCGTGTTTGTCTGTGCCCGCGATATGTTTTTGAACTCTGACCAATCTGAATGAAATTTCAAGGATGGCTCGGCACCGGCAAGACCGTGGCTTGGAATGTTATTTAGATGAAAGAGTCATAGGTAAATGTCACAGTGCTCCCAAGAATTGCGACGGAAAAGTGGTTATTGGCACTATTGCGTGTATGTGTGTGTGTGAGAGAGAATGTGTGCGCATGTGCGCGTGTGTGTCTGAGCGAGCGGTAGTGGAGCGGAGAGCGCTACGATGCGAGATGAACCCGGCGACCCGAGTTCGATTCCCGCTCACGGCCCACACCAGTGACGATTATTTGAACGGGTTCTGGGCCTCCCCTAGATCGACTCAGCCTCAAATGAGTACCTGGTGTTGTGTGTAAAACATCGCCACTGGGGAGACAAAGGCGGCCGTGCGTCGTGTTGGCTACCCACCCCCTCGTATGCCGTGCCGGCCTTCATAGGTGCTCGCTAACAGAACTTGCCCCAACAGTCTGTTCAAGCTATACGGGGGATCTTTGTCTTTGCGAGCGTCGGTGAAGTGGTTCGTGCATTGCACCACAATCCCGGTGGTTGTTGTATGGCACTGGTCACTCAGGTTCGATTCCTGGTCATGCACAACTCAATAAATCACTGCTATATCTGAACCGGGCTTGAGTTTCCCCGAGGTCACCACAAGCAGAGTGAATACCTGGCGTAGGTTTATCGACATCAATCTCTGGGAAGACAAAGGCCACAGGCCATGTTGGCCATGCTCCTCCCAATTTTGGTGTATGCAATGCTGACCATTTTAAATCATTCGTATGAAAAAAATGCAGCCGTATCTCAACATCTTACAGACAAGAGCAGAAAGCCTATGGGATGAAGTAACCTATCCGCAATTGTCTAACAACAGGCCTAACTCTGCGAATGAGCCTCTGGCATAACAATGAAACTAAAAGTGGTGCTGAGTTTGTCGGCTATAACAAATGCTGCATAGATCCATATTTGCATTGGCTGGCAGACAAAAAAAACTATTTTAATAAATGCTTCATCTATCACGTTTTGCGGCGGGGCCTTGGCGCGTTATGTAAATTGTAAATTGATGTTTTATGTAGAGAGGTCGACTTTTGCTTATCCGTCTCCAACTGTACTATCTGCAATCATCCACGACAGCGCATGGAGAGTAACACGTGACCTTGTGCCCCGACACCTGCAGCGCCTTCCACCAGATCCTCGCATTTCCCAGCGCCGTCCCTCTCCTTAACGAACGAAAGAGTCTCTTCCATTTAGCTGCGATGAAAATGGCTTAAAGTGCAGCCCTGCGATTGCTTGCTCATGCGACTGCTCCACTACAGGGAGCATTTTGAGAGTCCCCTCTCGCAGGTATTTTGGTCTACTCTTCCACAATGGCCAGACATCTTCTTGGAAGAGGTGGGGGCAACCCCCTCTCTTTGCCCCCTAACACCCGCAACTCGCCACGAACGGCGGTGGTGCAACATTTTACGCTCGATGGGTGGACAGAGGCCGTGAGATTCATGAAACTTGCACCGACCGTGTCAACTGCCGCGCCAGGAGATCGAATCCATTGACTGCACACAACGGCAGCGTCTCTGACTATTGTGATCATTATCATTGTGATTTTTTTTGTTGCTGTTACGTAAATGCAAAATTCTCAACTCATCTGAGTTGCTCTTGGCAGAGCGAGGCGCTGCGTCGTCGTGTTTTTACTTCTGATTGTCGTCACGTTAGCGGGTTGCTCCTCTTTACTACGACGCAAACAAAATGTTTGCGGTTGTGCTGTATAGTTCTCCAACATGTTTTCAGGTGATGTCTGATGTTTTATTAATTTTAATTATGATGAATATTCACGATTATTATGTTTTCCTCCACGCGCTGACGAGCTCACGTTCTGCAATCGATAGCGAGTTGACCGGCATGTGTGAACAATCGTGCTCGTGTGAGCGTGGGGGGGGATGGAAGTGCAGTGATTAGTGCAAGGCGCTATGATCCCGGTCACCCGAGTTCGATTCCTGCTCACGGGCAACATCAGTGACAAATAGGTCGACTCAGCCCTTTAAAGGGTGCCTGGTGCTGCAAGTAAAACATCAGCACTTGGGAGGTAACGGTGACCGTGCGTGGTGCTGGTCAAACCACTCGCCCGTACTCCATGCCTGCCTTCATAGGCACTCGCTGACAGCCCTTGCCCCCGACAGCCTTGTAGGCTATACGGAGGGATCTTTGTCTTTGTGGGTCATACTGTGGGGAGCGGTGGCGCAGTGGTTAGCACAACGAGCTATTCGCGACAACTGATACCTGAACCGGTCCTGACCCCCCCCCCCCCGCCTAGGCCGAGTGTAAACGTCGCCACTGGGGAGACAAAGGCGGTCGGGCGTGGTGCTGGCAACCCACCCCCTCGTGTACCGTTGCGGCCTTCATAGGTGCTCCCTAACAGCACTCGCCCCAACAATCTGTTAAGGCTACACGGTGGATCTTTGTCTGTGTGTGTGTGTGAGAGAGAGAGAGGGGGGGTGGATTGCGTGCGCGAAGGGCTTCGGTCCCGCACCGTCCACCACGGTGACGAACGACAGCCAGAAGCCGCGCGACTCCACCGTCGCGTCCGAGGTGAACGCCACGTGCAGAGCGGCGCCCGAGGAGACGACGTCGCCCAGTCGCTCGCCGCCGCACGCGCTCAGCAGCAGCGGGGACGACGCGTCGGGTCCATCGTACACCTGCCAAACCACGACCACCACCACTCACCCACCACGACCAACACCATCCACCCACCATCCACCCACCACTCACCACTCACCCACCACCCACCCACCACCACCACCCACCACGACCACCACCACCCACCCACCAGCACGACCACCACCACCGCCATCCACCCACCACCACCATCCACCCACCACCATCACCCACCCACCCACCACCACCACTCACCCACCACCCACCACCCACCCACCACGACCACCACCACCACCCACCCACCACGACCACCACCACCACCACCATCCACCCACCACCACCAGCACCAACCACCGCCCACCACCACCACCCACCCACCCACCACCCACCCACCAGCAAGACAACTGCCATGAACGTGGTGAACCCTGATAGAGGTCTGCGTGTTCAAGTGGTGAACCCTGTTGTCAAGGCTTTGCCTTTTCGCTGTATCTCTCTCTCTCTGTCCTATGTTGTAAGGGCGCCGCCGTGGCGAGATGTTAACTACCTCGCCTGGTAGGCAGGAGGTGGTGGATTCAATGCCGACCCTGACCACCTGTATATTTGGAGTGTGCGTGTCTCCCTCTCCCCGTGGTCGCGTTGGTTTTTTCCGGGTCCTACGGGTTATCCCTCCAAATTTAGAAGCATGCGTTTTAGAGTAATTGGCTGCTATACATTTCCACATGATAAGCCACAGTCGAGGAGCTATGATTTGTGGCCACGTCGCCTCTTTAAAAGAGCTATGTAGCTCAGTGGGCCTGACCTGGTAAAATAAAAAGTTTAGTTTGGTTTAGTAATGGGTAACACAATTTAAAAGTAAATATACTGCTCCACAATTGGACCAATCGGGCAACGTGTTTACTTTCACTCGTATCCTTCCTATTTCGATTTAAAGCTTTCATGCTAATTTCTCACTTTAACATCATGCTAATCTCTCACATTATCATAGCTACTTTTTATACTAAATTCCTCTGTTGACATGTAAACTCCTTTGTCAAGGCGTTCTGCTCCTCCCACCCAGCTTAAAATACGCTGCCAAGCTTAGCAGTGTTCATTGGAGCGCTCTCTTTCCGACAACTCTGTTTCTTCACCTGAGGACGGCTGCTTGTGTTGTGGCCGAAACGTCGTGAGAATTTTATTTTATCATGTTTTATTTTCATTATTTTATTATTTCCCTTCTACGTGACTTCACCGAATGAACCAAGAAGATGAATCCTTCCTATTATTCTGTACCGTCATATAGAGTGCTCACAACCCAGCTGTCGCTCCCGAATGAACCAAGAAGATGAATCCTTCCTATTATTCTGTACCGTCATATAGAGTTCTCACAACCCAGCTGCCTCTCCCTCCCCTCTCTTAACTCGCTCTTGCTTTCTCCCTTCCACTATCTCTCTCTCCTATGGTGTGTCCCCCCACTCTTGCCTTCCCTGTCTCGAGGTTAAACAATTCATGTATCCCCCAGTGATGCGATGAATTGTCACGATTCGGTATCGCTGATATTTAAGATTAGACTTTTTTTTTTACACTGTAGTTATTGTAGCGGGCACAAGTGGCTGCAGAGCTCACGTGATCCCATTACATGCCACCTATGTGCAATGGTTAAGCAGACATTAGAAACAGCAGGAACTATCGTACTTTATATATGCAATATATATTCTTGACTGATGATCATCTTGACTCGTGCCGTTATAAGGGGAAACATTACTTTGTAAAAAAAAAATAACAACGTTAAAAGTAGCGCACTGACATTGAAGTCTGTTGAAGGGCCAGTGAAATGGATTTATTTTAAACTAACAAAAAAACGAAAGACATTCGTTAATAACACTGTGGCCTCAAAAGGGAACGTGTAAAGGTAGGTGATGTTTTGGACAGTGCCCCTTCTTCACAGCCCATCGACAGGAGGCTACAGGTGCTTGTGCGCCACTGCCAACGCAGATAATTAGTGTGGTTTTAACAGAGTGCTGCTTGGCACGCCACATTATCAATTCTATTCTTGCTCGTGGCAATATGTTCACGAGCTAAATGCCAATGTCGAGGTCTGATAGCCACGACTTGGCTTCACAGTGTCAATAATAAGTAAATATTTAAACGATGCTACAAACTACACTCAATTACGAACCCACAGGACCAGCACGGCTAATATAGAGACACATTATGTAGAGATCACGGAGTGCCCAAGTACAATTAACTAAAAAAACCACATTCGTCAATGGCACTGCGGTCTTAAAAGAACAAAAAATATATTTAATAAGTGACGTTTTGGAAATATTTCTTTTTTCAAAGCACACGGATGACGCAAATGATTTATAAAGCTTTGAAAAACGGCCACTGCCTTCAACGTCACCTATTTTATATTTTTATTTTAAGACCACGGTGTTGTGGATAAATGTGTTGAGTTTGTCAATATAATGCAACCTGAAAACTAAATTGTAATAAAAAAAACGTAACTCGATAGCCAAGCACACGACGCATACATTTAAATCAAGTCCCTTACAAATGTACCTTCTTTGAAGAGAAGTTCGTGAAATAATTAACGGATTAAAAGTAGCCCATCCAAACACAAGTCTGCTGAATCCCACGGAAATAGATTTGTTTGAAGTTTGAAATCATTAGCATATTAATAGTAGCCTGGCCAAAATGACAAAGTTAATGCGAATGTACCCACGCTTTGCCATTTGGTGATGTGACAGTGAACCGAGGTGGCCTCACTCGATTTGCGAGTTCATAACCTGATGAAACTCAGGGCAGTGCCGAGCGAGGCGTCACCCTTCGTTGATGTTGATTATTTTGTTGTCACGGACATTCTTAAGCCACCGGCGAGGAACGTCGATTGCATTCACAATCAACGTTTTTGGGTTTAGATCGCGTTATTTATAAATGTGTCGTAACCCTCCACCACCCGACACGGCCAATCAGTAAAAAAGCGTCACGTTGACAAAAGACAAATAGTTCACTGCTTTAGCCCCACACCGGTGTGTTGAAGCGTGAAACCACAACATTTACAATTTGAGTACGACGTTTCGCTCGTAATTGCATCCAGCATCATCGGGCAATTTGCCAGAATAATATTGGTCGCGAAAGCCTACGTGTTAAACCGTCGATTGCATGAATGTTGACTTTCTTTCGCAACCCTACTAAGCCGACCGTGCTTATCGTGCTGATCGGAGGTTATTGGTCAGAAGGTGACCAATTCCATTGGCACGTAATCAATGCTGTCTTTGTAAACGTGACAATCTTGTGAGTCAAGCACGACGTTTTTTTAAAAATTCTCCATAGCCACACCGGCGACACCGAAGAATGAAATCAGCGAACCATCAAACATCCCATATTCTTAGGTTTTTTCGGTAGAGTCACGTAGGTGAAAAATTACAATTAATAAAAGTTAAATAAATATAAAATAAAAGTCACGACGTTTCGGAGGCAACACAAGCTTCCGTCTTCAGGTGGAACCGTCACAGCACGATAGCTGTATCAAGTTTACTTTTATTAATTTTAATTTTTCACCTACGTGACTTTACCGAAAAACCCTAAGAATATGAATCCTTGCAGTCACGAAAGCTTCAAATCTAGAACCAAACATCCCGACCAACCCAGTGACATTTGGCGGCGTTTGGCCCAATCGTCGTGCGTGAGCGGGAGGGAGCGCTCACCTTGAGGCTGTCGTAGACGCAGTTGCCGTCGGCCTCCAGGTCGAAGTCCAGGAAGGTGATCTGAATGCGCGGCCCCTCGCTCCGCAGCGTCCATTGCAGGGTGGTGCTGCTCGGGTAGTGGCCCAGTGGGTAGTTGGGCGTGTGCAGCTCACCGTAGCGCTGGAGAACGTCTGCCAAAGTTCGTCGGAAAAAATGTGCGTGTTTCTTTTTTAAAGAAATCTCTCAACGATCCCAATTATGGTTCACGCGCTTAAGCGGTGCCTCGAATTATGAAGTGGCCATATGAGTGAATAAAAAAAACAGCGGCTTCCCACGCAAGCGAATGGGAGAGGTGCTTGCCTCCTGATCGCAGACCTGAGGCAGTCGTGGAAATGATACGTTCCCATTGCGGGGTCTTTCCATGTGACAATGGTTGTTGAGTAGCCCACAAAGTAGTACGAATTTTATCGACCCCCAGAACAATGAAGGGCTGAGTCAACCTCTCACTGGGATATCAACTTAAATCCTCCCCATTGTGAGTTGTGCGTTCCCACCTCTGCACCACCGGGCCAAATACCGACTTGAGCATCACTAAATTAACAAGCGTGTATCTAAATTTTGATTTAAAGCTTTCGTCACTGCAGGGATTCATATTCTTGGTTCTTTCGGTAAAGTCACGTAGAAGGGGAATAATATTGTTTTACATTTTTATTATTTTATTATTTCCCTTCTACGTGACTTTACCGAAATAACAAAGAATATGAATAAGTTGGTGTGTCTCTCCACGTATTTTTTTGAGTTAGGCATCATCTTCGCAGCCTTCTATAAAGCCTCATCCAGGATGTGATTAAGCAAAACCAGGCTTGCTACAAATGTTTCTGTTTTGTCAGGCGTTATTATGGGTTATAAAGAAAAATTGTGGAGATCATTCAGGACAAAATATCAAGTGTATACAATATGTAATGAGTCGTACATTAAAATGAATCTTACTTTCAGGATAATTGCATCGCATTATTCATGTAAGAATTAATTAGTTAAAATGTACTAAACATACATGTTAAATTAGCTAACATATCGCTCTGCAACAGAACATAAAGAGACAGCTGTCATATTAATACTCTTCTCACAATCATGTACTCGGAGCACTAAAAGGTAATCTACTATTTTATGTAGTAATAATAAAATGTCAAGATCATAAATATTGTGAGTTTTTATGTTGTTTAGATTATCCCTGATTCGCTACTCCACCTCTTTGCTATCACTGCCTATTGCATGCGCAGTGACATTAAATGAGTCACTGTAGCGCGTGGCGCTGGGTGATTGGTAGCCAATGGGATTAGGGCTAGCAGCCCGTTCTACCACTTGGACCCGTGGGCCAAGCCCGGAGCCTTCTGGGTAATCCAGAAGGGGGCGTGCGTGAGGGCGGAGCCTGGCCGCGTTGGGGAGAATAAAAGGCGAGCTCCGACCCCCAGTCGGGGCTGCTGCAATCGGGAATGGAACTCGTCATGCTTCTGTCGTCGTGGTCTTCACCTCTTCAAGCTGTGGGTCTGGAAGCATGTTGGCTGTCCCGGTATGGAGTTATCGCCGATGGCTGTGAGAGCCGGAATTAACAAGAGGAATAACGCCTCCTCCTAGCGTCTCTGAATTAGTACACTACACGTGTCTTACAAACTTCTTCTGCCATTTCAATTCAATCGTTTGTTTGTTACACGGAAAATTCCCGTTTAGACAGTTACCCGGCTAGCAGCAGAGTTTTGTTGGGGTGGAGAAAATCCCGGCCAGCAGTTGGCCAGGAAACTCGAGGCATAGATTAGTTTTTTGTGTATAGCAGTATGATATGTAAATGCTATTTTAGGCTCGTGCAACAAATAAGACGGAAACCCCCTACAATTGACAGATAATTCAAAGGAGACCGTACAAACGAGACCAAATTAAATCAATTATACAATCGAATCGTGGGCCAGAATTGTGACGGTTTACATAAAATCACCAAGGGGACAAATAATGACATCACTTTTGCATATAAGTATGACTATTGCCCGTTCAAAGTTAACCTGAGAAAATAATAATTATTTGAGGAAAAGTTTGTTTAGATAAAGGCCCATATCTGTATGAAACAATTTTTATATCTTCACTCCACCGTCTGAAATAATGTTTATCCTTACATGGCATTTAATGCGAACTTCACTTTTTAATTATTAAGTTGCCACGTAAGCTCCATATATGCATGCGTATTAAAAAAAATGCCAAATTACTCTTTTTTTTTTAAAAGGTGGGCTTAAAGTGGAAAGTCGTGTGTGTGTATAGCACAATGCTCGTTTAGTGGTAAGTGTGTATATTAGCTGTAAATTCATAGCAATACAACCAGCTAATCATTTTACTCCCAGAGCTGAGTGATGAATTTCAATGGAAAAATTAAAACTAATTACGGAACGTTGTCTTTGTGCTGTGACCAAAGACATTAATACATTTATCCAATTTACAACTTTGGTCAGAACATTAAAATTCTGACCTTTCAACTGTGCTCATGAACTCAGGAACGTACAAGAGGTTGTTGGCTCGGTACCTTGAGACAGACATTATCCCTTGTCAGCCACTCGGGAAAGACCTTATGGTTTATTCATAGCCACCCAGACATCCAATACTTTCTCATTAGTCATGCAGTTTGTTACATAACCACACGGGCAATATCCGGATATGCAGTGAACAATGATTATTAATTTTTGTCACAGGACAATAATAAATTACGATTTAACTCAGGCTGCGTGGGTAGGGATACAGCGACATAGTGGTTTGTGCATTGCACGATCGTTCAAGCCAACTGACTTGAAATTACTGGCCACGGATAACGTCAATAGCACGCAGCATCGGAACCTATTCTGGCTCTCTTCTGAGTTGACACAGTCTTAATTGCATACCTGCAATGGTGTGCGGACATCATAACTGGAGAGACAAACACGGCCCAGGCAGACACACACACTACCCCCATGCCAGCTTTGACAGGTGCTCGTTAACGGGACTTGTGCCAACAATCTATAAGGCTAAATAGTTGATCGTTGTTGTTGTTGTTTTGTGTGTGTGTGTGTCAGTTATGGGAGAGTAGTGCCATAGTGGTCATGGTACACACCATTAGTGTCAAGTTGTGTATGGATCATCTGCCAAAGGGCATCTCATACATTGCTCCAGCTTTAAATGAGTGCCTGGTACAGCGTCGTCAACATCAGCTTCATGGAGGCAAAGGTGTGGCAGGGCATGGTGGTGGTGGTGGTGATCCCTATGCCCCTTCACTGTGTTATGCTGGCCACCACAAGCACTCGCTAACAGCAATTTCCCAACAGTGCAATCCTAAGAATAAAAATAAATATGTCCATTCACAGTGACACAACGCTTTTCTGGCTCGTAAAAACAAAAGAAAAACATCAAAAGTGTGATGTTTTTATAAAAAAATATGTTTTTGTAAGAACAACAATTATAAGTAAAGCTTGAGTCAATTAAGATAAGCACGTTAAGGTATTTAATTGCGCTATTAAAAGTTTCCCCGTGTGATTGCTGCGCGTAATTGTGAGATTCATTTTGGCGGGATTTTAAAGCTATAAAGTATAACTCACCTAATGAACGTGGACATTTTAATTCATTTTCAGTTATTTATGACACTTCTTGGAAAATGCATTAATTGATACAATTTCTGATTGAAATATTTCATTATTATCATGGCTGATTGGTTATTCATAATGACTACATTTAGCCTTGTTCCCAAAAAACACACGACTTCAACAACTGCTTCTGCTTGAAAAACGTTTGTCAAAAAACTGAAATAACAAATACATGGCGACACATCCTTAAATAGATACACACTATATAGCAGTATCTGGATTATAAGACCCTGGGGAAAGTAGGACGTGCCCCACACGCGCTCGAAGTCCATAAACTTGTACAAAGCTGGTCTTACACGCACGCCTACCACATCATAAGACGGATCCTCAACTTTTACATAATACAGGAAGACACGATGCATCACAATCCGGAGAATACAGTATAAATGTTAAACTTAAAACATACTATCTTTAAAAAGTTTCCCTTTGGCACTGCCTGTAGTGAGCACTGATCACAGCTTGGGTTCTCTTCTTATTAATCTGCTTGCTACCAACACAAGCCCCGAAATGTAAAGCTATGGGGCATGCGGTTTGATGATAAAATGAAACTCGTAAGTTTACAAATGGGTCACACTCAACACTGCTAATTCTTCACCCTGCTGCCCACACTAACCCCCAACCGAGCCTTGAGAGATAATTATTAATATTTTCAAGAGTTCGAATCCACATAAGTGTTCCAATAGATCCTGCCGGCGTGGTTCTCGCTTATGAGGCTTTGCCGATTTTTTTTTTCTTAAACGAGTCCCTGCGTTTACCCTTCGAGCCGGCAGTACCCGCGCAACTCGGCCCTCGATCATCAAAATGAAAAAAAAACAACAGCAAAAATCTCAACAAAAATACGCGGGGCTTCGGGCGGCAGTGACGCACTGGCGATACAAAAAAAATACGTTCAAATTAAATTGAATTGCGCGAATGTTGAACTCCGTTTCGGTAATTCATATCAAATTGCATTTCATGCAATGGTATGGTTGTGCGGCGATTATAAATTGGAAAAGGGGCCGTTACCGATGCGTGAAGCACCTTGAATCCTACTTTAGGCTTTACTGTTTGAGCCACTTTCTGGTGTACTTTTGACTTGTACCCCCAACGACGTTTCACTCCACATGCTGGGGGCTTATTCAGGCACAGCATGAAGAAGCTTCCTGCGCGTGGATGAAAACGTTGGACATCATACCGAACAACACGCCGTACAACTCGATAATTAAATACTGCTATTATCAAACTCCAGAAGGCGGCAATAGTTATCAAATAAATAAATAAACGGCACAGTTACGGGGGGGAGGGAGGGTAAGCGGTGGCGCAGTGGTTCATGCACTGCGCTACGAAGCCCGAAATCCTGACTACGCTTACCGGTCACGGCTAGCACAAGTGGCAAGTGATATCTGAATGAACGAGTCACGGACCACCCGTTTACCAAACCACACGGACCAACATGCTGAATCGTGCTCAAACAGCCCCTATGGACAGCCAACGGTGTGTGGAGGCCTTCATCCAGCAGTAGATTGACAAAGGGCTGTATATAAAGTGACGGTGAGTAT